CACCTCATAAAGTTGCTCCAAGGAAAAAAGAAAAAGATAAGCATTTAAAAAAATATTTATCTGAAACTACATCCTAGAGAAATGTAGCTCCAGTGACTGTTTTTGTTCATGTAGTATCATATAGGGGCATGCTAAATTCAGTGTGTTTATGTCCCCAGGCTGAGTCCCAAAGGTAACAGGGCAATGTGCTATTTATTACTAATCATGGAATATTTTGCTTGCAAAATAGGAGACTGATGCTCCTCCAGGCCAGAGATGCAGATGGTTTAAATTCTCAGTTGGCTTTGCCTGAAAATATGTATTCCACTGAGGAAAAATGAAACATAAAGCCCTTGGAAAAAATCAAACAGAAAAATAACATGAATCTGTTCAATGGGGAGGTACAAAGGTTTCTAAAAAAGAGAACACATAGGAACAAAAAAAGATCATTTTGAAATCTAACCATGCAGAGCAGCTCTGATGAGACACTGATGGTCTGTGAGCCACCAGGTAGATATCTGCACTGGGAGAGATGAGGGTGGATAGAGGAAGTCTCAGAATTCTCTTCAAAAGCACCATAAGGGAGTATGTGATTTTGGAAAGGACAGAAAATGAAAGAAGAAAGAAAAAAGCCTAGTATTTGTTTGATATAGGAATGTGGCTTTAAGGTTTTTTTGTGTATGTATACCATAATTGGTACCAAGAAGTCTGAATCAACACAATTTTGGAAGCTCATCATTGATAAGCATTACCAAAAGTCCAGAAAATTGAGAGGAATATTGTATTATGCTAGAATAGACATAATAATAAGAAATTAAGATTTCTCTCTGGGGTGTTCTTAAGGTGTATTAAATTTGGAGAATTGATTTTTTAAAGGCAGTCAGTGCCTTGTAAATGAAGGCAAACAAGGGAAAAGGAAAGATTGTGTTATTTCAATTACTCTTCAAAACAGCCCAATCAGGGTACGTGCTATTTATCCTGTTTTACAGAAAAGAAAAATAAAACTTAGATTACATAATGCCCAGACCCTACTTCGTTAAGTAGAAGAATGAATAAATTTTCACCCTTTGTCCATTTTACCACCAACAATTATTTATTGAGCGCCCATACTGTGTGCTTGTTCTAGACATCAAGGAATCAAATGATTATTTGAACTTATATCTTTCTGATCCTAGAAACCATTCTTTTTCTACCAGAGTCTGATAGCTAGATTTATTTAAATGATTGTGTGGAAATTTTATTATCCCAAAAAAGAGATTTCCATGGAGTGCAGAGGCTATGGGACACAGGAAAAAAAATGATGAAAGGCTGAATGCTAGAATTAGATGCTTAACAGAGAGGATCCAAGTGCTTTGGCCTGATACTTAAAAATAAATAAAACAGCAACAACAACAACAAAATAACATGCAATAAAAGTATAAAATCATAAATCATTCTTAATGTTTGAAGTCAAAGATAAGAACTATAATTGTTTAAAGGTATGTTTTTTCTACCCACCTCCACTCTGGCTGCTTTAACGTATGTGTCTGTGTGTAGGTTTCTTCTTATTTATCTGGCTTGGGACTCTGTGCATCTGTAGGTTGATCTCTTTCATTGGTATGGGACAGATTTTCAGCTGTTAACTCTTAGCACACTGTTTCTGTTCCGCACTGCCCTTTCTTTCTAGGATGCTGATTTATTTACTTTCTCATTGGCTCCTGTACATTTTTACTTTTCTGCTTCTTTGGTACTCATTCTGAATTTTTTTAAAGCAGTCTTTCAGTTTATTGACATTCTTCAGCTCTGCTTGATTTGCTATTAAACTTGCTGGGTTTTCAATTTCTGTCATTATACTTTTCACTTTTAATTTTTACTTTGGTTATTTTCCAAGGTTTTCAGTTTTCTGCTGAAGTTCTCAATCTTGTATTTCCTTGAACATTTTCGATGTAGTTACTTTTAAGTAGTATTTTTATGTAGTCAGATAACTACATAATCTGGATTCTTTATACATCTGTTCCTCTCGTCTGAATTACTCTTGATTTTTATGCCTGTCTTAATTAGTTGGGGCTGCTTCAATAGAATCCATATATTGAGTGACTTCAACAACAAACATTTATTTCTCACAATTCTAGAGGCTGAGAAGTCCAAGTCCAAGGCATTGGAAGGTATGTAGTTTGGTAGAGCCTGCTTCTTGATTGTGAGATGGTTGTCCTTTTGCTATGTCCTCACATGGAGGACAGAGAACTCTTTGGGTTCCCTTTATAAAGACACTAATCTTATTTATGAGGTCTCTACCCTCATGACCTAATCACCTCCCCCAAAATCTACCTCTTAATACCAAGATATTGGGGGTTAGGATTTTAACATGGGATTTTAGGGGAGGACACAAGCAGTCAGTCCATTACATATGCCTTTGGCTCCTAACTTAAAACTGTCACTTGGCTCTACCCTGATTTGCAGTTCATAAGCAATAACTTAAAACCAAATAATAGTTCCCCGTTCTAAGCTCTCATCACGTTCAAGTTGCACCATTGATTTACTTATAGCTTTTGTGGTACCAGAAGTAAGGAAGTACTATATGAAAACTACACTTGTGGCCTGATTTCAGAAATGCCAGATTATAAAAGCAATTATAAGAATTGCAGAAATGCAGCATATTCCTCAGCTGTTGGCAGAGGTGCTTGTGTATCCCCAGTTAGTCCCTCTTTAAATCTTCTTTTAAAGCCTCCTCAGTGAGAAAAGCAAAGGACCCAAATTGTCCTAATCTTTGTTACTGCCTAGAACTCAGAATCTCTCCAAAGTTCCTGCTATTTAGATCCATATTAAATACAGTAGATATTTGATCCATGAGAACACTGCACATGGCAAATCATGGTGTGGGAGTGAAGCACACCGTGGAACTGCTTCCTTCCAAAGGGAGAAAACCCAACTATCAGGCTTATCTGCCAAAACCATTAGTAGAAAGGATTTTTTATCTTCTGAGGCTGATGTGGCTGAGGTATGGTTCATTTTCTCTCAGTATTCCAGGACTGGTCTTAAACATCACTCAAAATCTTTTTTGGCCATGAGTTTAGCAACACTCAAAATGAATAAGGAACTACACATGAATTATACAAACTATAATAACCTTTTGCTAGACCACTGGCCACATATTCAAATGCCTGCAGAGATGGACAGCCTGGTGGTGGCTATGGCCAAGTGAAGACCACAGCCCCCAGTTGAAGTAGAAAGTGGCTTCTCAAATCCAGTTGGTTGTTAACACGTGGAAACACAGGCCAAGGCTTTCTAGATCTTAACTGTGTTAGAAGTCATATTCTGCCCGGAAGTTGGAGGGGTGGGGAGAGTAGGTGGCTCAAACAATGCATACACATGTGAGCAAATGTAAAAGCAATTTTAAAAATCTCAAAAAAAAGTCATACTCATTTTTATGTGAAATCTCCCATTTTTTTTTTTTGTTGGTACCTAGTTCCATTTTTTCTTAGCTTGTAGGTAGAATGCACCATGTTTTCAATTGCAGTCTCTGGACCCCAGTGGTGGCCTTCTGGGCTGCATGTTCAGAACTGAATGAGTCTGTGCTAACAGAAGGCAGCTCCAATACTGAAGCAGCATGCATTGCTTTCTCTGCCTCTTCTTCCCACATCATACAGTCATTCCAGAAAATACAGCACTGAGGTTTTCTGAGTCCACTTAGAATGTCAAAAACAAAAAAAAAAACAACAAAAAAAACCCCACTGTCCTCTTTATACCATCTCAATATCTTTAAATGGCTTGCTCAGTGAGGTCCCTTTTTTACACTTAAAATAGGAGTTTTGGATTCACCCACTAGAAGACTTGCTCATATTACATATCCCCAAAATATTAGTGATATTCTGCCATAAGCCAGTCATATGACTATTCATTTGGTTAGTTATAGCAATCTTGCCAGATTGCACATAAGAAAGTTATTTATTTTAAATTCTGTAATACTTTAGAGCTATTATCTGAATGGGGATTTTTTTTCTTGCCTGGAGGTAAGCACTAAGTTGCCTGGAAAGTAATTGGTACAGTTAGAGGAAGAAAAGGTTGTCAAATGCAAAATTACATTAATTACATGGGGATAGTTTTATGGGGATGAACTTATGTCTTAGAAGAAAGGACTAAAAGAACCAGGGAGGCTGATAGAGTGATTGGTACCCAATTTTGTAATTAAAGGCTGAATTCTTCAGGGGCCCACTCTCTTGTTAGGCAAGACATATTCAGCACCATGCCATAATCTATTTGAGAAAAACATGTTACCTATCTGATAGAATATTTCCAGACTATATCTAAAATCCTGTTCCATGCTCAGAATAGCTGCTGATACTGTTTCTACTTTAAGTAGCTGTTCAACAGCAGTTAAAAAGTAGAAATATCTTTGTAATGAATATTAAGTTTGCAGATGGAACATTGCATTTGGGAATCAGGAGAAATTTGTTGTATCTCTGCAGTTATATTATCCTCTAGAAATTTTAAACAAAAATTTTCAATACACTACTGTTCCTGGAGATGAAATATAAAATTTAAGTTCATTTATATATGCACTCTTGTTTCTTTCTACACAGCTCTACATCTTGAGCACAATATAAATAGGAAACTGAATAGTCTAGTTTAATTACCCAAGTGTTAGGGAACGAAGGGGATAATGCAAAAACATCAAAAACCAATAACCCTGTATACTGATCATAAAATCTAAGTGAAATATTGATTTTGTCCGGGCTTGTCAAGCTCTTCTTGTTTGAGAAAGAAATAAAGAAGATTGTTTGAAAACCAGATTTAGTGTCACATTTATTATATTTAGAATGGAAGAGTTTTTAAGATAGGAATAAATCATTAAAATAAGGGAAGACATGTCCAACACATGCATATTCTGTTAAGAGATTTCTCTTGGTAATTCTTTTAAGTAGCACTGTTAACAGGCTCTGTATCACTGTATTTTTAATTCAATGAAATGCAAAAAGATTCTATTCTGAAAATTGCATGACTCAGACTCTTAACAGTTCTTTTTTCTTCTTTTTCACTTTTAGTCCTTGAAGAAAGAAACTGCTCAGACCTTGGGGGCCCAGTCAATGGGTACAAGAAAATAACAGGAGGCCCTGGGTTTCTTAATGGGCGTTATGCAAAAATTGGCACTGTTGTGTCATTCTTTTGTAACAACTCATATGTTCTTAGTGGCAATGAGAAAAGAACTTGCCAGCAGAATGGAGAGTGGTCAGGAAAACAGCCCATCTGCATAAAAGGTAACTTGTGGATATTTCTGGATTGTATAAACATATATGGAGTTGTATTTTTTTGGATAGTTCTCATGCATGCTTTTTAACTATTGTTGTTCTGGGGAGGTACGTTGTGACATTTACAAAACTTCTTACAATATATCACAGTTGAATTTACCACTCCATCATTCTCCTTTATCTCTTCCCCACCCCGCACCTCCTGTATGTTTTAAGCTACTGAAGAAAATGTCTTTCTCTCTTAAGTTGTACCGGGAACCATATATAACCCTTAGGTTGAAAGCATACCTAAAACCATTTACTACTTTTTTTTTCTGGGCCTAGGGAGGACCTGTTCTCTCTGATCACAACATCTTGAGGAGTTCGAGAAGGGTAACATAGTTATCAGAACAGTTTGGGAAAGACGACAGAGCTGAGTCTTATACATGCAAATCCAAGGATAGAATTTATAAGCCTTTACATGTCTACACTTATCTCACTCTCTATGCAACATTAAGTTGGTTCTAGAAATAAAAGAACAAATAGATACATCATACTTGGCAGCCTATGTGGACCAAGGCCAGAGATGTTAAGATGTCTAAAAAACTAAGATAGTGCCCCTCAAACATTCAGGGACAGTTGTAGGAACAAATGAGTAGTTCAGCAAAAGGAGAGGTCAGTATTCCTGAGTTAGAGATAATTGCATGAAACAGGTAGACTTGGGAGGGTCTGGAAAGCTAGGAAGGATTTGGAGAGGTGAAGGATTGGGATGGTATTCCAGATGGGAAGCAGGAAAAGAAAAGAGATGTAGGCAGCAGTGAAAAAAATCTAGAAAAGCTAGAGGTAAGACAGTCTAGGACATAAACATAAAACTGTAGGTTGGAGCCAGAAAACTGGAATGTTGGGTAGGAAATTTGAAATCCTCCCCATTGCCATAGGGATACTGTTTCTTATTGAATTGATCTGCTAGGAGCTTCAGTTTAGCAGAGTCTTTCTTGGGCAGGGGGCGCCACAATGATCTGGCTGTTTACTGGGAAGAAAAGCATGTTCTTGTCCTAGATTATCCAGAAAATTGCTGTCACCTTCCACTTTCTCTTCAGGGTGTTAGTCAACAACCTGAATCATGGGGAAAGGAATGAAAGAGAAAAAAGGAATAAATGTGAAAGGGATAAATCACTTTAGACTTTAGCCAGAAGCGACTTTCATCCCCACCAGCACAGATTCAGATGTTTCATTTCATTAAGTATGGGAACAGTGTTCCATATGTCCTTAGAGATTTTTGTCAACTCTTCTCTTACAAATTAATACAACCAAAGTACTCTAAGTTGCTAATTAGACAAATGTTGGCTGCTTGATTGGGAAATTGAGATAGAAAGGATTTCTTTTTACTTGTGGAAAAAAGAGAGACTTCAATGAAACTAAACTGGGCTTTGAGTTGTTCTCCAGCAATTGTTAGGGGCCTTCACTGCAGTGAAAGGAGAAGACAAAATCTGTTATGCAACACTCACCTGTGATGAACACTGCTGTCGGGTTTAAATGACAGCCTTTTAAATCGCTATGTGGGCTGTATCTTAGAACTTTCACTCTGAACTTTATTCCAGTGTGACCAAGTTTGTTAATACTATTTACACAAACAGACGCTCCTAAACTATTAAATGCCAATGTCCCAAATCACCTAGGTAGAGCAGTTTTTCAGAGGCATCTTTAGGGTTCTTCAAAGGTGACTGTCAATTTAAGTACAAGGCATCTGCTCCTTTGCTAAGTGAACTGTTCAAGTTTGGCTGACATGTCTCACCTCTGAGACTGGACAATGAACACCCAGTTTCCAGGAAAGGGACTCAGGTAGAATCCGAATGGAATAATGAGAAATGATGAAGAAGGATTATGCAGCATTGTTTGTTTGGTTGGTTTTTTCCCTGCAGCCTGCCGGGAACCAAAGATCTCGGACCTGGTGAGAAGGAAAATTCTTCCCATGCAGGTTCAGTCAAGGTGAGATGGAAACACCTGAAATCTGCTTGCAAGGCTAATGAATACCTCCCCTCCCAATTCCTTTCCCCACTTGTGTTTGGGCAAAGACAGTCTGGGGTTTCTTAGGGACATTTAGTGCTAACTGGTCATGAAAGAAAAGAACTTGTTAGATGGAGGCTCATTAGCCAACTGCCTTTGGCCAAGAGGTAGCAACTGTTGGAATTTGTACAAATTTTATTGGATCGTGGGAAAGTAGATGGCTGGTGAGAAGCAAGACTATCTGATGATCTTTGAGGAACTGGATTTTAATACTTGAATCTTCCTGTATTAATTATGGCAACTTCTAGGAGCTGGCATTCTTACTAAATGCAGCAGCCAGCTATAGTTGAGGAAGATGTTCTTGGTGGAAACAACCAGACAAGGCAGGCTGGTGGAGCCCAGGAGCTGGAGAAAAATGACCAGTCATGATGACAGATAGGGGCCCTCGGTTATGCCCAACTTTTCTCCCAGAAGGGCAGAGGTGGGGACCCCCTGGTGGGTCCATTTCTACTAACTTCTTCTACCTCCTCTTCCTCATTCTTTCTACTCCAGTTGCATGGGTCTCCTTGGTTTTCTTTCTCACACCAAGCACAGATCTGCTTTGGAAACTTCTACCCTGACACCAGGCTGACTCCTTTATGTGTTTTCTGGTCTTTCCCATGCTTCTGTTTTAGCATCTTAGCATCCCTCTCTACCTGTTCTCTCTCTCTCACATACACACATTGAGTTTCTTTGTTCAATTTCTATTTCCCCATCACCCCAAGTGTGAAAGTTACAAGTACAGAAACATTATCTGCTTATTTCATGCCAAAGCTCCAGTGTCTGAGAGGGTGCCTACCGCACAGAAGATATTTAATAAAGATTGATTGAAGGAAAGAATTGAATTGGCAATCGAGGGTGTAGTTCTGCCTCTCTTTAGTCCTGGGTATTTTTAAATAAGTTCCTGAACTTGCTGAGCCTTATTTTCCCCTTTGAAAAAATAAAGGTCATCCTACCAGTCTGTGATTGCTGTAAGCGTTAAGTAGTGCAACACTAGGTCCTAGCACTTATTGCAAGTTTGCAATGTGCCAGTTGCTCTTCTGAGTATTTTACATGTACTAGTACATTTAATCCTCATTATATCCTTTAATGTGGGTATTATTATTATTAGCTTTTTACTGGCATTTTATTACTTATGGGTAGATTGAGGCTCAGAAAAGTTAAACAGCTTGCCCAAAGTCCAGTTGCTAGAAGAAAGTACAAAACAAGGATGTAAATCCAGTATCTGGCTTCAGGATTGCTCTCCTATGCCTTAGACTGTAAGCCTTCTGTAATGGCCTTAGCAAAATGCCTTGCTCATAGAATCTCCTATCAGTGGTAGCTGTTGTCCAAAATAGTACTCATGAGTCCCAGAGGCCAGGATTGACCCAGAATATTCCAAAGTGAGCATATCCATCAATCTCTCACCCTTCCTCAGGTTCTCCTATCCACTTTCATCTTCCTTTTTCAGGCAAGGCATTTCCTTGGGAACAGTGGTGGTAGAATCTAGATTATGCCTCATGTTTCTATCTTTGCAGTTTCCCTAGCTGGGCTCTGAACCAAGTGACTCCACCTGTTCTTCCCAAAGGAGACATCCATTGTTTGATGATGTCTTGTAGAGATATTCTGAGCTATTCAGAAAGACTACAGGACTTCCTATTGTTAAGGCAATTTTAATGGAAGATTAGGTGGTGTGTAAATGAGAAAGCAGGCCTACAACTTGGTTTTAGTACCTTTCTGGAAGAGAGGCTACTAAGTGGGGGAATTCCTATCCCCAGCAGCCAGGCTCATTTGTGAGTCCTTAAAGGCAGTGTGGGCCTTTGAGGCCAAGAGATGGGCTTCTTTGCAAGTTCAGAAGCTCTTGGAATTACAGACCTTGCTATAAACTTGACATGAGTATTTGTCAAGTGAAATCAATGTGGATGGAATATTAGCTCTGAGCCAAATACTGTAGAGATACAGGAAATAGATTTCTTACAATGACCCAAATCGGTGTTAGAGACACCCGAGTGGAAGTCATGACTGCTAAGCACAGTCTTGGGTGCCATTTTCCTTTGCTGTGTTTCCCTGAGCACTCCTACTGACTTCACTCTCCGCGCTCATTAAACATGGTTGAAGATGTGATGCTAAAGGGATTCCAAATTGTCAGCTGACAGTACTTACGCACCAGTATAAAATGAGCACAAGCCATGCAATGTGTACACCTCTCCCCAAAAACCCTCTGGGGGCTTCAATTTTAGGGTTCATTTAATATATTTTTCTCACCTACATACAATGTTTCATATTTCTCCTTATCTGCCCTGAGGGAAAGTTCTATTCTCTGAGTTGAACTAATTACCACTGCTAATTGCTAAATCAATCTACTGCATCAACACAGTTTAGTTCAAGTCAATTCCTAATACTGCTCCATTATGATAATATTTAGAGAAACACTACATCTGGATTCTCTCATTCAAATTAACTCCCTTTTCTGTTTAATTTTGTAATTAAATTTTTGTGTGTGTGCCTGCGAAGCATACTTTTGGATAGCAGCTATTATGTCAGATGTTATTCTCTTTGGTTAAAACCCTAGGCAGTTGGAAGCATGCCAGAAATGGAAACTGAGGAAACTGTGTGTGTGTGTGTGTGTGTGTGTGTGTGTGTGTGCATGTTTGGGTGAGGAGGGAGACAGAGACTGAGAAATATGCATAGGATGGGATAGCCATTTTCCCTTTTGTAACTAAACATCTGCATGGGGCTGCAGAGATGCTTACATCTCTCTTGTCCCATTCTTTCTCTGGATCCACGTGTCCTGACCCAGAGAGACACCATTACACCAGCTATACTCATCAGGCTTCAGCAAGCAGAAACTGCAGGATACCCTTACTAAGAAGCCAGCCCTTCCCTTTGGAGACCTGCCTTCTGGGTACCAGCATCTGCACACCCAGCTGCAGTATGAGTGCATCTCACCCTTCTACCGACGTCTGGGTAGCAGCCGGAGGACGTGCTTGAGGACTGGGAAGTGGAGTGGGCGGGCCCCATCCTGCATCCCAAGTGAGTGAAGGCTCATCTTTGAGCTGGAGCATCTACTCTTAACCTTGTTGAAGACTTTTTGGAAAAGTCTCCTTGTCCAAATGAACTGTCCTCCATTGCCTTCCCTCATTTGGTAATGTCTGAAATTCCACAGTTAGAAATCGACTCCCCAGATTTTGCAGGCATTGTTTCTTGTGGATAATTCTATCATATTTACTTGGAGAAAAGGGAGAGAGCAGTAATTAAAAACCAGATGGGGGAGGGTTAAAGGCCCCTATTATATCTTCTTAGCTACCTTGTCTAAGCTCCATTTTCACACTCATTCAATGATAGTAATTACATAATTGTTATGAAATAATGAGGTAATTATCTTGTATGGTCATGATGATGGCTATTGAGATGGTATGTAGAAATTTCTCAAATAGGTGCCTGTATATTTTCAGTTACCTTCCGTATCCTCTTTGTGAAAGAAGAACAGTATGGCTCTGTTCATTGTGGTTATATTTATGATGATAGTCATTATATTTTTTTGAGTTTGTTTATATACATTATTTCATTCAGTCTTCCCAAGAACCCTGTGAAACCATTGTTATTATTCTATCCATTTTACAGGCCAAAAAAAATCGAGGCTTTTAAGGGAATAGGGAACTTGCCCAAAGTCCTATTGACAGTAAGTGCCTTGTATCAGAACCCACATTTAATTTGACTTCAGAGGCTCCAATTTTAACTCTAGACTTTATAGTCAACCACATCTAGTATGGTTGATTAATATTTAAAGAGAGGAGAAAATCAGGTTGGATGGCTTATAGTCATCACATCCCTGGGATTCACCTTTTCAGATTTATTCTCAACTGGTTGAGTGCCATAATCCCCTTTGGATGGCACTCCAAAGGGGAAAGGTCTGAATTTATCTTACTGAACTGGTGCTTTCTCCATAGTCTGTGGGAAAATTGAAAACATCACTTCTCCCAAGACACAAGAGACCCGCTGGCCATGGCAGGCAGCCATCTACAGGAGGACCAGTGGGATACATGATGGTGGCATGCACAAGGGAGCATGGTTCCTGGTCTGCAGTGGTGCCCTGGTGAATGAGCGCACTGTGGTGGTGGCTGCCCACTGTGTTACTGACCTGGGGAAGATCACCATCATAAAGACAACGGACCTTAAAGTTGTCTTGGGGAAATTCTACAGGGATGATGACCGGGATGAGAAGACTGTCCAGAATTTACAGGTGAGAGAGAGCCCAACTTGGAAACCAGGGCTCTGGCTCAACCAGGTCCAAGTGTGGGACAGCAGAGACTTTGTAAGCCCAGACACCTTGACATGTCAGTAGACATCCTAGAGCCTGGCATGCATCAGGTACTCAGTGTACCATATTGATAGACACTGGAAAGGGGCAGTTAGAAGACCATGTGGTTTTGTCCCCTTGTTTTAAAAATAAGATAGGGGCAAATGTCTTCTATTGTTCCATTGACGAAAAGTCATTCACTTCAGAGTAAAATATACATGTACGTCTCCTAGTAGCATATGTCATAAATCATAACAAATTAAAAACTGGTGAAATTATTTGTTTAATGTGTGTCTCTGTCTGAAACTATCTGGCCTAGAATGTTGTCGCTATATCCTCATAGCCTAGCACAGTGCTCATATCAAAATAGATTATTAATAAATATTTCATGAATAAAAAAAGAGAGTTAATCACCTGTTACATTTAGGAATTGTCTTAAGTAGGTTTTGAGGACATATGTTTTATCCAATTTGTCCTAACCAATTTATAATATACTCGTCTCTTTTTCTGATTCCTCCTTACATTTACCCACCCACCCATCCATCTATTCATCGACCCACTCCTACCTTTCAGCCTACTTGCCCATCTATCCATCCATCTCTCTATCAGTCCTATCTATCATTTCATCTGTTCATCCATTGTTGATTTCTTACAATGTGCTTTTCTCTGAAAATTGATACATAAAAGAATAAGGCATTGGTTTTCTCTGAAGAGTCCACAATCTAGTTGAAGAGACATGCCAATATACCATGATCAGTTTGACACAAGACAGCTCAAGGAAATATGCTTAAATGCAATTAAAGTAATAAAACCTACACTTCAGAAAATTGGAAAGATTCTCAAATGTGAGCTCTTAGAGACCCTTAACAGAAAGATCCACCAGCAAGGCTTGGGACAATCAGGGAACACCATGGAAAAGTCTTACAGAAAATTCTGCAAACATTCGTATGGGAAAAGACTGAGAAAAGTCTTAGGGAATGTTCATATGGAACATGACTTTATCTTGCTGACTTGAAGGTACATTGTTTGTACTGGACCAGAGGTTGCAAACTGGTAGCCTGTAAGGATTTATGCTTTCATGGTACTAACATATATTTTCTTAATCAGTTATTTACCAACTGATTATTGGAATAAATCAGTTATTTACTCCAATTAAAAAATGGAGATGTTTCAGATAAGATCTGGAGTCCATTCTTTGGCAAAATTAGAATGCTGGCCCTATTTCCGTGGGGCAGCGGTCAGTTGGAATGAAGCAGTCTTTGCCCACTTTAGATAGGATGTGTGATTTCATTCTCTGTAGCCTCACCTGTCTACCCTCATTACTTAATTCCACCTACCAGGCTCTGATAGGCATTTCAGCTTGCCACCCTGAAAACACAGCAATTTATTTCTATGATTCCTTGGGCAAAGTGTCTCCAAGTAATTGCAGCTGACACTTAGACAATTTCTTCCAAAAATTTTGCTACAAAACTTATCTATTCTTGTCTATCACAGAGCTGGCTGCTTACTATTGCTATCCATTCTTTGCATTTGTAGGTTTCTGCTGTCATTCTGCATCCCAACTATGACCCCATCCTGCTTGATGCTGATATTGCCATTCTGAAGCTCCTGGACAAGGCCCGTGTTAGCACCCGTGTCCAGCCCATCTGCCTCGCTGCTGCCAGGGACCTCAGCATCTCCTTCCAGGAGTCCCACATCATGGTGGCTGGCTGGAACATCCTGGCAGATGTGAGGAGCCCGGGCTTCAAGAATGACACCCTGCACTCAGGAATGGTTAGAGTGGTGGACTCACTTCTGTGTGAGGAGCAGCACGAAGACCATGGCATTCCAGTGAGTGTCACCGACAACATGTTCTGTGCCAGCTGGGACCCTAGTACACCTTCTAACATCTGCACTGCAGAGACAGGGGGCATTGCGGCTGTGTCTTTCCCAGGCCGAGCATCCCCTGAACCACGCTGGCATCTGGTAGGGCTGGTCAGCTGGAGCTATGACAAATCATGCAGTCATCGCCTCTCCACAGCCTTCACCAAGGTGCTGCCTTTCAAAGACTGGGTCGAGAGGAACATGAAATGAGCCAGCCACGGGCCCATAAGTATCTTTTCTGTGCATCCATTTATATATGTGCTGAATGATGCAGTGAGGACCTGAAACATGATTTTACCCACAAATTTGGCCATGCCAAGGCTTCTGATTTCAGGGACATAACTCAGTGGAGGGTGAGGACAGTTCAGTTTCTGGCAGGTCACTGCCTTTCTGAGTGTTTGAAAACCATTTTGAAGATGCTAGGACTTGCAAGAACTGGGTTTCTTTAAAGAAGACCATCTGAACAGAAAAAAAGACCTCTCCATTCAATTGGCCTGGTAGACTTCTTTACCTTTCAGTGATGTAAATATTTTGGTCAGCTCTGGTTGAGATGGTTGATCTGGAGTTGATCTTGACTTCATGAAGTCTCAAGACTTCAGCCAAATCAAGTTGCAAAGAGCCACTCTGCCCAAGGCAGAGAACTTGGGTATGGCATGTGCTTTTGTATACATCACCATAGTAAAGTCTGGTCCTTTTCTTTTCCATTCTCCTGTACACATTTTAATAAAAGAAGGATTAGCTTCTGACCAACAAAACGAATGTGCTATGCTCTCATTTCTGCATGTGGATTCTCTGAGCTACATGAATCTGGACCAATGGCCTGATGATAACCCTTTAACATAGAATCAAAGGCTATCATTTCCCAATAATGTCACAAAGGCAATGCTATCTTTTCAGTATCAACCTTTGGAGCTTGGTGGGGCACAGGCTGGGGAGAAAAGACATAGGTGCCATCAGATAAGACACAGACAGGAAAATACCAGGGGTTACCCGATTTCCAGCATCCCCCTAGTTATTATATTCTAGATCCTGCTCAAAATCCTGCCTCAAACCTCCCTAAGTCCTTATCGTATGTTTTGATAGCAGGTGAGTGGGGTCACACATGTACTTACACAGCCCAAGCCCCCTGTTCTACTGGATAGTGGAGGGAAAGAATGAATTCAGTTCAATAAATACCTGTTGTGATCTTCTCCATCACATTCTCTTTTGGGGGTGACTTAGCTCTTTTATCTTCTCTCTTTTTCTCGCCTTTCTGGTTTCCCCTTCTGCAACATGGTGGCTGGGATGGTCGTGTGTCTTTTAGCATTGGGACAATCACAGTGGGGCCTCTGGATTCATGCTGGTTCTTGGTTGTGCATTGGTGGGTCTTTCCCATCTCTGGGTGTTTTGCTGACATGTGGTGCTAGGGTCTATAACTATGATAACGTGTGCTATTTTCTCTCTCTACTTTCATGGGGCTTGGTGGTCATTCCTGTTGAACTGTCTCCTGTCCGTCAATCTTGGGGACTGGTACTCCTGAAATCATGTGGTAGCCTTATTTGACACTGGTTTGCATTACTCAGCCTCATGGCTACAGTGAAGATGTCTCTGGCAAGTGCCCAGCCAGACTCTCAGTGATCTTCTCTTTCTCTCTTGGGAGCTTTTGGGAACTTCTTGGTTTTTTTCTGTACCACATGAGAGCCGAGAATCCAGGCTTGTGAGAGGGCATTTTAGGAGACATTAAGCCTCCCATAGACCCAAACAGGAACTTCACTGTTTCCTCAACCTCTCTCAGAGAACTTCAACCTCAGATCATTAGCCTCAAGACAGGAGATGAAGATATATTTGTGTCCTAAGCTGCCTCCCCATCTCTGTGTCTTTACACAACCCTCAAAGTCAGAAGAGAATGACTCCTACTTACTCTTTTCGTCAGGCTTTCCCACAAGTCACTTCCTCTTCCTTTCAACCAATCTTTCACCCCATCCTTATGACTTAATCTCAGAGCAATGTATTAGATATTGATTGTTGAGCACAAATTACTCAACTATTTGCATTTACCCTGCTCACAGTTGGGTAGATTGGGATTTGGACAGTAGCTTAATCTGAAGTTGTAATCAGCTGAAGTCTTGACTGAGGCTGGAGGATTTGACTCTACAGATATTTATCACAACACTCAAAGATTTTGTTTTAAGCCTAGAAAGCCTGGATCTTGAAAGGTGTGATAGAATTTGGATCAAAGAGATCTGAATTCAAATTTCTGTCTTTTCTTTTCCAAGTCACCTTTGGCAAGTACTTAGCGCCTCAGCCTTAGCTTCAGCGTTGTGTTAAATTGACATAAGGTCCTAGGATTTTGTGTGTGTGTGTGGGGGTAGCTGTAACAGTTGAGATGTTGCATAAAACAGTTAACTCATATATTATGGTTTGGATCTTAAATGCCACCCGCCAAGGCCCATGTGTTAAAGGCTAGGTGGACAGTCTATGGTACTATTGGGAAGTGGTGAAATCTTTAGGAGGCAAGGCTTACTGGAAGAAAGTTAGGTTATCTGGGGCATGTCCTTGAAGGGGATATTGGGTCCCAAGCCCCTTCTAGTCTTTGCTTCCTGGCTTCTATGCCACCATGAGGTGAACCGCTTTATCTGTGTGTGGTCCTGCTGTGATGTACCTAAATACCATAGGCCCAAAGAATCAGAGACAAATAATCATGGATGAAACCATGAATCAAAATAACTTATTACTCCTTATAAATTACTCATTTCAGGTGCACTGTCATAGCAACAGAAAGTCAGTTTACACACACGGCATGTGGTCTGGTGCCATGTAATACCTGGCAGAGTCTGGGCTGTCCAACTGGGCACAGCTCTGCAAAGCCTCCGCATCTACCTCCGAGGACACTTCACACTTGAATGTCCATTCTCGCACTCTTCACTGCCTGACTTGACCCTTACTACTGGTTAATGTCATTTCCCCTTCTTGCCTAATCACTCTGATTTGGCTCACATATATATCATCTCATAGAGGTTGTGACTTTGACTATCTCTGAATCTTAATCTTGCCCTAAATCCTAGTAACAACTCCTCCACCCTGGGCTGCTTGGTTAATAGCCTTATGGCCATTTACCACCACCCTTAGCTCTTCCTACCCCCACACTGCTGTCATGGGCTGGAAATACTCAATGACATTAAGATTCAAGTCAGGATGAGAGAATCAGACCTTAAGTGGCTGCTGATGGAAGAGTCTCCGTCTTTCTTTTTATAAATACCTTTATATCCTAGGCTAGGACTCCAAGGACAAGAGGTTTCCTCTCATCTGGAAATCTGGAGTATACATCAGTCAGAGACTTTTCAGATAATCAGGACTGTTAAGATTCACATAGAATAAGGGATTATCATGACCACATGAAACTGTAGGCACTGGTGGAGAAGTCTGTGCAAGGCTATTGTCTTTGCTTCTGGTGTTGAGACTGAACCAATCAGGCCAGAAGTTGGGAAGGAAACTTGGATGTGAAGTTAGCAGAGTAAGCACAAACTGGATCTCATGAAGACAAATGGAAGTCCATGTCTCCTACTACTTCATCTTCCATGATATGGGTGACCTGTAGAAAAGCTAGTACCCTTAGTATGGGACTGCATACTCACCTGCTCCAGCATTCAGACAAGTCAGAAGAGGACTTCCAATAACACCAGAGGAGCTATGAGCCTGGGTGGTCTGTCCCACCCCAGCAAGGTGAACTGGGTGATCAGCGACATTGTGAATCAACTGCCACTGTCAGATTCCAACTTCCAGAGTGTGAAATTAACAGTAGCTTCTCTCTCCTTTCCAAGTCTCATCTAAGTTTCCCTTCCACCCACTCTAACTCGGTATAACGCTGGGGAGGGAACTCTACAACCTGGTTCCAGGACAAAGTCATTGTAAGTCATGGAATATTAGTGCTGGGAAAGTGGTTGTCAATTGAGGACTCTTTTTGGGAGAGGTAGAGAAGGCTCCTATTCTGTTGGGGCCCACTGTCTTTTGCACTGTTGTATATCCTGACATCCAACATTCTATCAGCCAGGCTTTCTTGCCTAGGACTTGACTGGGCATTCCCAGCTAAGCTGTGATGTTCTCCTCTTAGAGATAAATAATTTCATAGAATTGCCATATCCTTTATGGTCATTCTGGGACTGTGATGTATCAAAAATACAAACAAGACCTCATATCTTTTGTAATAGATAAACACCAGGTCACTGTGCAAATCACACAAATAGCAACTATCCTCCCTCCCTAGTTAACATGAGGAACTATTGCTTCTCTACCAGTTATAGCCTTAGTCTAGATGAGTCTTCCTGCCTTCTAGATAAGATTTATTGCAATGGCCAATGATAGAGGTACCCTCATATTCTGACAGCATCCAATCCAGGACAAAGATCCCCTTGAAACCTCTCCCAAATCACTTAGAAGCCCAAATCCTATAAGTTCTTTCTAACACACTCTTTTTTTGGTGGTACTGGGGTTTGAACTCAGGGCTTCAAACTTGCTAGGCAGGTGCTCTACCACTTGAACCACTCCACCAGTCCTTTAACACACTCTTGATGAGCCACTCCTTGGTTCTCCATGATGCATATTCTTCCTCACTGCAATAAATCCAACCTGATCAACTGCAGGTGCCTGCAAGGCATTGACTGTATATATGTACATTATTGACTACATATGCATATATATGTATGTATATACAGTCATGTCTAGATGTGTGTGTATATGCATGTATGTAAATATCTTCCCTAATGTATTTAGATTTTACTTATGTTTTGTATACCATATGACAAAATTTACTATATATATATATATAAAATTTAAGTAAACTGTATGATTTCAAAGAAACTCTGACTTTCCTTAAGTGGACGTCAATGGGTAACTGAATAGTCAACTCACACAACTCACACTGTAGTCTTTTATACAAACTCCAACAAAACTTGAGAAAAGTTGCCACCCAAGTATAGCATCTTTAGTTAACTTCACTTACAAGGTAGTTAGAACTTTGATCGAGTGTTGGAGTGATGGGCAGGAAGGATTTAAGATATTATAAATAACAAAAGAGATTAGCAAATATATACGATCAAGCATGAAGGGAGCTGTCTTGGAGAAGGGCTGATTATTTCCCACCACAGCTTCTAAATTACAGTGATAAGTCAGCTTGGCTAGCCAGCACATAATCAGTCAAGGTGGGAGGCCAATTGGTGGTGGCTCTCAACTCTAGGATTAATAATTTGTCTTCTTATTGCCCATTCAGATCATGTTGCCAGAAGAGGGAAAAGATAGAAGTGGAGTTCTAGAAAGGTGTTCAGGAGGTCTATATTAGACAGTAGACAGCAGCTAGAGACCCATCCTAGTTCAGTCCCAGCTTTGTCACTTGTGTGCTGTTACCTTGAGGAAGATACAATCTCTATCCCACCATTCCACCTCATCTGTAAAAAAGGAGAGAAATGATTTGAAGATTCAGCAAGACAGCATATCTGAGGGGTAAG